AGAGGATTAGAATGAAGGCAGCAGGGGCTTGGAACTCCCCCTCCCAGTCTGGGAAGCTACTGACCCTGCCTATCAATGAATGAGCTGCCACTGAAGACAGAGGGGGCAGGGGAAGATGGCAGCAGCAGTGGCAGCTCTTGAGCAGATGTCTTCCCAGAGCCCGTGGCCAAGAGGTGTTTAGTATTCTGGCCTTCACAGCTCTGTCCCAGCAAGTCTGATGCCAAGACCACCCTTCTCTCCCCCCAAATCACCCAGGAACACTGGCTCAACTCCATGGGCAAAACACAGGCAACCCATCCAATGAAAAACAGAGGCGCACTGCTCTCTAAGGAGCAACACAAGCTCTCCAGGGTGAAGGAATGGGAAAGGAGCAAGGCCCCAAACCTACTGCTGGGCCACTGAGGGGGCAAGGGGAGAGGGGCTGGGTTAAAAAAATGAAGATTCTATCATTCTTCAACAAAAAGAAATGAAGTATTGCTGCATACTACAACACGGATGAGCCTTGAAAAGAATATGCTAAGAGAAAAAAACCCAGATACAAAGAATTTCACATTGTAGGATTCCATTTGTAGGAACTGTTCGGAATAGAAGAATCAATCAAAATGAAAAGTAGATTAGTAGTTGCTGGGGCTGGGAGGCGATGGGGGATTGGGAGATGGGGATGGTGCAAAGTTTCATTTGCAAGTGATGAAAATGTTCTAAAATTGATCGATCGTGGTGATGGGTGCACAACTCTGAATACACTAAAAGCTACTGAATTGTACACTTTAAATTGGTGAATTCTATGTTGTGTGAATTATCTCCATAAAGCCGTTAAAATTAAACAAACCCAAGGGCTGACAACAATGGCAGAGGAGAAGGAAGCCAAACATTGTATGAGACTTCGTAACACACCCCCATAAGCCAACGGGCCTTACCCAAAACTTTCAAAATGGGGAGGGGGAGTGGGGAGCAGGGAATTAAGAGATTACAACCAGCTTCTCAGAAATGAGTCCAACCTCCCTCCTCATTATTACCCATTTCAAGGCTGGAGAAACTGAGGCCCAGAAAAGGGAACCGCCTGAAGATACAGAACTCAAACCCAGAAAGCCCAGGCAGGGACCACTTCCTGCTATAAGATTCTGTCTCCCTGCCAAAGGAATCCACCGGTTCCTGGATGCCAAAGGGTCTTTGGTAACAAAGCTCGATTGTTAACAAAGCCTCCCAGGGAGAACCTAGATTGTCCTGGGGAAACTGCAAGAGAAGAAATCAGCCAAGCTCCGAGGTGGACAGGCACTCCTACACTCAATAACCCCAGGCATGGGTGGACTCTTGGGGGTGGGGGGAAGGAAGCTGAGAGTTTGCCTGAAGCCATAAAACAGCCAAGTAGGAGACCCTAGGGTTTGAACTCAGGCCTGCCCAGCTCCAAAGCCCCCAATTTTTCCACACACAAACCTACCTCTACACCATCCAATAGGCCCCTTGACGGGCAACCCCCAAGCCTATTCACCATAACACAGCTGGACATAAAACATCACTGCCTGCCAACCCCAAACCTCACACTGAACAGACACTTGTCCTGCCCACCAAGCTTGGGCAAGGGAAAGAGGAAGAGGAACCCAGTTTTTCCTCAAAAGACACTCACCATTCTCTGTCACCTCTAGGTCCCGAGGGCTTCGGTATGAGTTCCCTAAAATCCCAAAGCTAAACAACCCTTCACCAGCTCCTTACCTGACCCATGAAGAAACTGAGACCCAGAGAACACAGACCTAACTATTCTGGTTCATCCAGCAAAGCTCCAGCAGAGTCAGAGTAGGAACCCAGGTACTCTGGCTACAGTGCCAGGTCCAGTACCTCTGACCACCTCTGCATTGCACACTCCATTCTTAAATGCTCTGAGGGGTCCTCAAGCTCTTTTCACAGTGTAGACTCGGTAAGGCAGCCATGCCTGGAAAAGAAACCCCCAACATCACCCCCTCCCTAGCACCAGGACCCCAGGGTGCCAAAAGGGCTCCTAAAATCAGCGGAGGTAGTCACAGCATCCAAACAGGCAGGAAGTCTGAGTAGTTGGAAGAAGGATCCACCATCTGGGTTTCCTCTCACCATCTTCTCTCTTTTCCACGGGATCTAATGGGCCTCAAAAGCTATAAATGCCCCCAGGTGATAGTTCAGGACAAAGACTGGAACCGCAGGAAGAATCTCCACTCTTCCCATCCCCAGAAAGCCCCAAGTTGGACCAGGTGAGGCAGGGAGAAGCATCTTATTCTCCTTTTGTCCCAAGAAGTGTGAAGACAGGAAAAGCCTTCCCCCTGTCATTGGGAAGGCATCATGCAACCACAGAGTTTTACTTCCACACATATTCTTATGGGAACAAGTATGGGGGAGGGACTCCCAGCCTAGAAGATGCAAAGGGGGTTAAGGAGATGTCTTTCTAGTCACCATGTCAGCACGCAACTTTCTTCCTTTATGTCCCTGGGACCAGGGATGTAGCATTCTCTAGTTCTGTGGAGGAAAGGCAGCCTACTACAATCAGGGAGAGAAACAATTCCTGGCCCTGACCCTGTAGACTCAGACAATTTATTCTACCTGTAGGAGTAAAGGGTAGAAAGGTATCAAGGACAGGGGGCTCAAGACAAGGCCCTGGCCCCTGTGAAGTGCAGAAAGATTTATCTGAATCAAGGGGAATAGGAATATGGGTAGAGAATTTCCCTGGAGTGGGAATGTCTCCAGGAAGAAAAAAGCTTGTTGAAAGCAATTCAGAAAGCTCAGGATATTTCCAATCCTGGAAATGAGAAGCAAACAGAACTGGGTCAGGGAGAGACTCAGAGTTATCTCCTAGTTCTTGAGGGGAAGCCTCAGCCCCAAGTCCCCAGTACCTGGCAACCTTCTCATAGAAAGTAGGAAGATCTTCTTGGCCTGTGAGAGTTCAGGTAAGGGGTTCTTAGGACTATATAGCACCCAGGTCCTTCTGTTCAATGGCAGAGGCCTCAGCCCACACTGGAGAGGACCTCATGTCCCTCTCCCTGGTAAGAAAGGATTGCCTGGTTATGGGGAGGGGGAGAGCGCCTCATACCCAAGGGGGACTCAGGTCTCTCCTTAAGATAAATGATCTCTTGTCCCTAAGGAGAATCTTAGGCCCCTAGGAAGAGGCTCAGCCTCTTCCTCAGAATCCTGTCCTATCCATGTCCCCAAGGGGAGTAGAAAGTTCTTGGAATTTAGTTCATAAATGGCCTGAAGCCCAAGTCCCCAAAGCAAAAAAATCCCTCAAAGGCCCCTTTAACGGGTATACCTATGCTATCTAAAGAGAGGTGACAATTGGTACTTTCAGGACAGACTCAGGTCTCAGGTCCTAAGGTGGGTAAGGTGTCTCACGCACCTGAAAGAAAGTTTAAACTGTTAGAGGGAGACTCGGGACCCTATTTTCCAGGGACTCCCTATCCACGCCCCTAAGAAAAGGGTCTTGGGGCTCAATTCCGAGTCCTAAGGTAGAAGGAGTCCTCCTGTTCCTGAAGAGATCCTTAAATTCCTTGAAGAGAGAAGCCCAGACCACATTTCTAGAGACACACCAGTCACTGGGGTATTCATGGGTCTCTTGTCCTTGAGGACAAGCTCAAGTGTCCTTGGCTCAATGAGTCTCAGGCCCTTGATCCATGGGAAGACCTCAGGTCCATCTCTAGGACTCCATGCTGCTCATGTCCCCTGAAGACTGGTATCAGGCTACAGTTCCCAAAGCAGGGATCTTACATCCCTTACAAACAGCTCAGGCCCTTGGAGCAGGGGGTGCTCAGATCCATGTTTCAGGGGGAGAAGGGGCGTTTTTGGACCCAAAGTATGTTTCAGTCTTTCATAATTAGGGTAGAAGAACCTCACATCCCTGTATTTGTGTGTGTGTGTGGGGGGGGGGGTGTCTCAGACCCCCAAGAATACTCAGACACCAATCCCTGAGGAGAAAGGACTTCTGTGGATGGGGGGTAATCCATCTCCTGAAGAGGCTTCAGACCCAGTCTCTGTAAGCCCCAGTTCATAAGCAGGAGGATCTTAGGCTCAAGTACCCAAAACAGTGAGGCTTATTTTCTTGAAGAAAGGCTCAGGCTGGGGAGGTGGGGGAAGAGAAGAACTGAAGGTCTATCACTTAAAAAAAAGCTTAAGCTCCTAGAGAGAAATTCAGACTCTTGTCCCCAAAGAGGTCTCAGACCACTGAAAGGAAGCACAGACTCTTGTCACCTGGAAAAGGGATCAATCTCATGTACCTTAGTAGTTTCTGGTCCATGAGTGTTAGTTTTGGCGCTTGTTCCCAAGGGGAAGGGAATCTTGTCTCCATGAAAGTCGTTTTATTTCCCTGAAGAAAAGCTAGAAGATCCCCTTCTCTAAAGGGAATGTATCTGTGTGTGTCAGATACTTGATTCTAGGAGACGGAATCTTAGGCCCTTGAAAAAAAGGCTTAGAACCTTTAAGGAAGTCGCTGCAATCCATTGGAATGGTCCTGTGTTTTGTTCCCCCTGAAAAGTAAAGGGAGGGGTTGTCCTGTATGTACTGTCTCAAACTCCCGAAAATGGTTTAGATATCTTGGGGACACTCAAAAATGTATAAGGTTTCCATCCTATTTGTGTTCCCCTGAGGAGAAATCTCAGACCCTATTCCAAGAGGAAAGAAAATCTCAAGACACAGAACACAAACCAAGGTCCCCTGGAGTCATGAGACTCCCCTCTCAGGTGGCATTCCTACCTACTGGCCCTACACGAGGACGTCTCAGGGCCCAGAATAATGGCTATGGGTCCGAGAAGAGACCACGGACTCCATCGTTAAGTCCGCCATCTTATCTGGGGCTTCTAACCCTCAAGTCCTTGGTGGGGGGCAGGGAAGAGGGTGTCCTAGGCCCCTACCACCAGAGAAGAATGAATGCCAGGCCCCAGGAGAAGACGTAGGTCCCTTGGGGGGACCTCAAACAGCCTTCCTTGGGTCCCTATCCAGTCTGGGGATCCCACCCACCACATCCACTCACCTATCACCCCCAGCCATACCTGCTCAACGGTTGCGGGGTCCATAGCCTCGATGCGAGCTGCAGCCGCTTCGTATTCGTCCTCACTGTTGTAACCCGCGCCGACCTCCTCACGCTCCGGACTGCCCCCGCCAACCGCTCCGACCCCGGGGGCTTGACGTCGCCGCTTGCTGTGGCCCGGCCCGGAGCAGCAACCTCCCACGCCTACGGTTCCGCCCACGCCCACCACCACGCCCGCCGCGCCCACACCCGCCGCCGCTGAGCCCAGCGCGTCGCCGGGACCGCCGCCGGGACCGACAGGGCCCCCGCAAGGAGGAGGAGAGGCCTGCTGTGGTCGCGGACCCGCCACGGCGCCAGGCGGCACGGCCAGCGCCCAGCGGTGAAGCGCTCCCGGCGGCCCCGGGAGCGGGCCCTGAGGCGGTGGTGAGGCCCGGGAACGGGGCCCCACGACTCCCGAGTCACGGTCGCGGTCGCCACCGCCCACACCCGTGCCGCCGCCGCCCACGCCCACACCCCCGCCGCGACGCGGCGCCGGGGGCAGCGGCCCGGGCGGCGGCGGTTCGTTGGCGGGGTCGGCGTCGGGAGGCGGCGGCTTCTTTTTGGGGAGAATAGTCATGGCGGCACTGCCAAGTACCCCCCAGCAAACCCGGCGCGAGGCACGCTGGGATAGAACCCGGATGAGGGGGCTACTGTGGTGCGCGAAGCACGACGGGATCGGCGGGACCCGGATAAAGAGATTGAGGCACCGGTTCGAGAACCGTCGGTGGCGCGCAGGTCACGGGGCAGGAGAACCCGGATGTGAAGTCCCAGATGATGGCACCGCGGCGAGTTTGTCGTAGCCTTTTCTCCAAGTCCAACAAGTTTACTGCTATGCTCGCTCGTTCCGGCCTGCCGCTTCAAAGGAAACAGAACCAAAACAAGCACCTCTTCGCCCCGCCCCCTCGCAGGTTCTTGAACTACCGGGTGGGGCCCCGGGGCGCTGCGCACGCGCGCCAGGGCACAGTCCCGCCTCTCGTTCGGAAGTACGTGGGCAAAATCTTCGCCGCCGCCAAAACAATTGCAGACACCAACCAATCGAGGCAGTTGCGTGGGTCTACGATGATGCCCACGGGCCAATCAGAAGCTAGCGATCGCCCTCCCGTGCCCTCCGTCTCAGATTTCAGTCAAAGTCTGCACTCTCGTTCCTTGCCTTTCTTCTCTCGACCGTCCTGTCGCGCTCTTCTCTCCCTGAGACTCTGACTCACAGGCGGGGGTACTATGACAGCACAGTGCGGCCGGCCCCAGGCGCGACAATTTGAAAACGACTCCCTGCCAAGCTTCCAACCTGGCCGCAGTCAGCCGGACTGACTGGAAAATATCAACACTCCCAGAGCATAGCAATCCCCTGAAGCGTCAGTTCCGGTCCCACCCACCTGCAAATCCCTGTCCTGCCGAGAGGCGGGCTCCGCTTCACCCTGGCAACAGGCCCAGTTCTGCGGTAATTGGTTAAGAGAAGCCGTCACTAACGTCGGATTGGCCAACCCCGGGACAGACCTGCATCGTGGGGACCTTGGGTATTTGGGAGGCAAACACGCCCTCTTTGGCACCACTGCGCTCCCGCCCTCGAGTTGACCTCCCCGCCTCGGTGGCTAGTGCGCAAACGCGGCACAGCCTTCCCACCGTACACCGCTCCCCCCCAAACTGAGTTTACCTGGATTGAGCAAAAGTTTAGGAACCAGCACTGTCCACCAGCCCGCAATGGGGTTGGTAAAATTCCTGGTAAAGAGCGGCTGGAGATCTACAGGCTAATCGTAGCTCTGCTCCTCTTGTCTGAGTGATCCCTGACAAGTCATTTAACATCCACCCCATCCGCAATTCAAAAAATTATTTATTTTTTTAGTAGTCTCTGTACCCAAGGTGGAGCTCAAACTCACAACCCTCGAGATCGAGTCGCATGCTCTTCCCACTGAGCCAGCCAGGGCCCCCATCTGCAATTTCTACTTCTCTGTAACATGGCAATGATAATTCCAATTTAAGGATCAAAGATTAATGCTTGTAAAGGGCCTAGTGCTGTGCTTGGCACAGAGTTAAGTGCTCAATAAACTAGTCTGAATGGCAGTGCAACGAAAATGATCCCAGGCTTTGGAGTCAGGAAGACATCAGTTCCAGCCCTCCATGGACTGTTACCAACTGTATGACTTTGAACAAGTCATTGTCTCAAATTTGAGATTACCCATGCAAAACGGGAATGATAATGCCTGCCCAGACTACCTCAGGGAGCAGTTATGGGGTTCAGATAAGCTTATGAGCCAAGAAGTTGTTGCGAGAGGTGATGGCTTGCTGCCAGTCTCAGGAGTCAAGCTGTACAACATGTTGACTGAAAGAGAGATGATCAGAAATCTCTTCTGAGTGCCACCTAACCTTCTTCCTTCAGATGCCAACCTTGGTTCAGTTCTTCCTTCAGGAATAATATTCAGGAATACTCCTGAAGAAATGACTACAAAAAGAGTGTTGTGTTTTCTGCTCTGGAGACTTAATGGGAGAGGACTCACGTTTACTAGGCTTATTGTGTTCAGGGCACTGTGCCAAATGCCTGTGCATGTTATCACATTGAATCTTCTCCTGAACCTCTCACGTGACCTATATATCCCATTTCCTACTGGATATTTGTCTAGCACTACACACCTAAACATGAACTTAGGATAATCATTGTAGCTAATCTTCACCAAGTACTTACTATGTGCCTGGCACTGTGTGTGAACAACTTTGATGTTCCTTTTGACAGGGAATGGTGCCCCCATTCAGCCTTTGCCCAAGCCAGAACTTTTGAGTCAACCCTGCCTGCTCCCTTTTCCTCAACTCCCACATGCCTGTCAGTCCCAAGTCTTGCCAACTCTACCTCTCAAATCTCTTGACTCTCCAACTGTTACCACCACTACGTGGTCCAAGCCACCATCACCTACCAATACTGCAAAAGCCTCCTCACCGCTCTTCCTCCCACCAGGACTGTTTCTTTAGAATCCACTCTTCACAGCCAGAACCATCCTTCTGAAATGCAAACCTCAAGACAACTTTCCTATTTAAAAACCTGCAGAGGTCTCCATTATCCTTAGGATGAAGTCCACAATCTGTATCATAACTTCAAAGGCTTTTTGTGAGCTGGAGTGATCTCTTGCTCTCATCACAACCTCACACTCTCCTCCCCAGCTGTACTGAACTCATTTAAGTTCCCCAAGGGCCTTGGGCTTGCTCTCTAACCTCTAGGTCATTGTACATGCTGTACAATGCCTGAAACCTTTTTAGCCTTTTGCCTGGCCAACTCCACCTCATTCTTTGGGTGTTGGCCGGCTTAGGTCCTCCTGCCATCTGCATGCTTCTGCAATCCCATCGATTTTAGTCCTACAACACTACATTGTAATTGCTTAACTATCTGCCTTCCATGCTCACCTCGGGAGATCAGAGACAATGTCTTCTTTACCCATCTTTGTGTCACTAGGGCTAGCATGTGATATGCAGTTAATAAATATTTAGTGGGGGCACCTGGGTGGCTCAGTCCGTTAAGCATCCGACTTTGGCTCAGATCATGATCTTGCGGTTCCCAAGTTCGAGCCTCACGTTGGGCTCTGTGCTGACAGCTCAGAGCCTGGAGCCTGGTTTGGATTCTATGTCTCCCTCTCTCTCTGCCCTTCCCCCACTGGTACTCTGTCTGTCTCCCTCTCAAAAATAAATAAAACATGAAAAAATTTTTAAATATTTGGTGAATTACTGTATTATGTTATTATACATGTATTATATTTGGTAATTATTATTTCATAGATTAGCAATCTGAGGCAAGAGAAGTTTTAAGTTTTAAGGATTGGAACCCAGGTTAAACCAAATGCGAGGTCTGTCTTAGTGCTCCACAGAGCTCAGTCACACACTAGTCTAGTGTACCCAGTAGCCCAGAATGTAGGGGATGTCCACAAGGAAGGGAAACTTACCAAACTGAGAAATACTTTTTACTTCTTTTTCTTTTTCACTCTTGAGTTCTTTTTCCTTTTATTAAGTAGGCTCTAGGCCCAATGTGGGGCTCGAACCCACGACCCCAAGATAAAGAGACTCATGTTCTACTGGCTGAGCCAGCCAGGTGCTCCCAAGAGATGCTTTCAATTAGGGTTCAATTCAGAGCCGTTTGCTGTTGGGAAGTCTGGGTTTAAGTCTCCTCTAACCTAGCATGTGCTGCTCTGGGTCTCAGTTTCCCCATCTGTGAGTAAGAAAGCTGGAGCAGATGATGTCCTAGGGGCATGTCTCAAGACATCCTGGCCTGCCTTGCTGGATGTAGATTCAACTCTTCAAGCCACTGTCTTTAATTTCTCCTAGATCCCCATTTTCCACAACGTGTCACCAACCACTGACCTCCCATACCTGTGCCCACACCAGTCCTTCTAGTTGAAAGGAATTGAAACCAGAGTACTTTCAACCCCCCAGCCCAACCCAGCCTCCGAACCCACAGAGCCAGGAGGTGCTCATCCTCGTCTCTCCTCTCAGGTTTTATTGACTGATGGAAACTACATCTTTGTCAGCCACCAGCTCCACAGGGACAGTGCTGGGGACAGGGAACCTGAGATGATGCCAGATTTCAGCCCAAGAGCAGACACAGAGTTCCGGAAGGTGACCCAAGAGGGAAAAGAGAGAGGAATATGTGAAAAGGCGTTGTGGGGGAGGAGGAGGAGGAAATCAAGAAGTTCCTCCCGCCTCCTACAACTCCCAGAGTTCAGGAACAACCCAGGCCTCAGCCCCTGACGCTTCTGGACTTCTGCCCAAGAACATGGAATCAGCCTATGATCTCCAAACACAGCCCAGCTCTCACTGGCTGCTAGGCTCTTATCTCAGCCAGTCCAGGCTCCAGCCCAACCCAGGAAGGAAACAAACCAGAGAAGAGAGGAGGAGTACTTAGAGGTGGCCCCTCTGATTAGGGCAGATGTAAACGCTGCAGCAAACTGGGCAGAGGCTTTGCATAATGTCACGGCAGCAACTGCTATTGCTAGAGATTGCTGGGGGCCCAGCAGAGGACGGGGTTGCAGGGACCCATTTCCAGCAGCCAGGAAAGGGGAATGGCATTTGTGCTATCTGTGTGTATTGGGAGAGGCAGCCTGACCCCTGAGCCAAGGCGAGGGCAGGGGGTGGCAGGTCACTGCTGAGGCCACAGCCCATGAAGCCTGTGGTTGCATTCCAAGCTTCAGAATCGGGGAGTTGTTGGGCTTGGTGGAGGGTGGGGACCTCCCCTAGAGGCCAGAACAGAGGTGAAGGTTCTCTTCTCTGAACCCCCAAACCTCCACAGCCCAGCCAGAGAGAAGAGGGGGTCTCACCTCTTCTCATCAGGCCAGAGCTCAGAAGTCAGGTGGGAGCCTGGGACACAAGAAGAGGAGCATGCAGGAGGCCAGCTAGGAGACAGAGGCCAGTCCCAGTGTGCTGGGGCAAGGAGGCTGGGGGCCTGAGGAAGCCCAGCACCTCAGTGCCCACTGGAGCAGCTGTCTGGGGTGGGGAAAGTTGCCCCCTTCCCTGGCCACTTCCCCACCAGATGAGCCATTCCATGAAACTCCATTGCATAGTTCTCAGTGGGGGGCAGAAGGGGTCCCCAGGCATGCCCCTCCCCAC